AAGCGACGCTGACAGCGCCGCCAAATGGAAGCTGAGGAGCGCGAGTGCCCATCAATATGGATTTCACGTGCCCCCACACTGGCTGCGAGGGCAGCGTCGCCGAGGGCGAGGGCTGTAGCCCCAACAAGACGTTGATCTAATGCAATCACCTCAAATTGTGACATTGCCAAGCGGCGTTTGGTGTCAGGTCATTTAATACATCACTCGCTTATATTTTTAAACAAAATATTAAAGTCACTCTAAATATAAATAAATAACATTTATACTTATTTACTTTTGGTATTGTGTATAGCCTGTATTTGGTTTATTTACGGATGATTTAGTTTAGTATTATGTTGTAAATTTATTGAAAGATGATTTACTTTTGAACTTTGTTTGATTTATTTTTTGTATTTTATTTACAAATTTTATATATCTATTTATAATCATAAAGTTTGTTGTTGAATTTTTATTTTTATTTTTTGATTAATTTTATTTTCTTTTTGCGCTTGTTTCACACATGCAAAGTTTATGTCTTGAAATGAATTCCATTTATTCGGCTATATTTTTGATTTATAAACAAACTTTGATATAGTAAAAATATACTTCAAAGCTGTCAAATTTGCTTTGTGCGGATTTTTATTGTTTTATTTATTTGATTCACCGAAATCTGAGGTTTTCTCTGCAACGAGCAGTAAATTCACATCTATTTTCGCATTTCTTTTATTTATTTGCATTGTTTTGTTGTAAACAAAAAGGTGAATTGGCTGTCATAATAAAGCTGATTAGATCGTCTGTGGCCCAATGCGGCAACTAACCATTTGATTTGCTTAGCACCGAATGTTGGAAACAATCGCGTATACGCCTAGAGTGCCTCGTGCATTCGACTCGTTGTCGCTGAAACATGCGCGTCGCGTGTGCTCTCGACTCGACGTCCGCGTTTCGACTGAGACAAACAGCAGTCGAGCACACACACACACACACACACACACACTCACGCATAGCAGCTCAGCTGCCAGAGGCTGCGCCGAGTGATGTTAGCCGAGTGGCAGAGTTAACAGTCGGTTAGCAGACCTTTAACAGCATGAGCAGCAGCAGCAACAGCTGAGCTGGTAATTCATTCATAATTATTTCGAGTGAATTTCGGTACATGGGGGCGCAATCTGCTGCGCTGCGAATCAATTTACTTAAGCAGAAATGTGCCACTGGGGAGCAACTGGGCAGCGCGTGTCCTAGACGCAGATATTAAGCAGACAATTCACGAAATGCCTATGGCTTGTACACAAACACATGTACATATATATAAATATAGAGATATATATGCAAAGCAGCAGAGCAGTAACCCGTAGTGGAAGTAAATGTTGACCTTTTTTGCTGGAAAAAAAAAATAACATGCAAAGAAATAAATGCGCGTGAAATGTCAAAATCAGTGTGAAGCCCACGAGCCTAGGAGAGAAGGCCAACAAAAAAAAAAAAAAATAAAAACATAACAAAAAATATATATGTATATAAGAAGAAAACATAGAGGAGAAAGATGACGGCGCATAAACAGAAAACAAGCAAATGCCAATGCCAATGCCAGGGCAATCAAGAAAATTTGCTTCAACAAATGGCAATGGCAAATAAGAGAGCGCAAAATACAAGAAAGTCAAGTGTTTGCACGAGCTCTTGATGATGATGACGATGTTGTTGCTTTAACACACACACATACACACGCACACACACACACACACACACTGTGGCTGCCTTTGTGGCTGCCCAAAACTAACCTCAAGTTCGTAAGCACTTTGATATTCCTGTGGGTTCCCTGGCAGCCATCGCCCAAGGCACTTAAGATTGCAACTTGGCTCATGCAACAAAATGTTGCATCTGGTAATTGCTGCAGCCACTGGCAACAGTGGCAACAATCCCCTCGTCTGGCTGTATCACAGTGGCCACAGTTTGCGTTGTGCTGACAATTTTTGCAGCTATTCTTCTTCCTTTTGCATACCCATAAAAGTTATAACCCAAAGCTGGATTTATTGTGCTTAGAGCTTAGACAAACAATTTCCAAATTAGACCACAGCCGGGGCCAGCCACACGCACAGCTCCAGCTGTTCTGTCTCCATCAGCGGCCATCGGCTCACACCACTTCATCTGTTGACTGTCGCCCGTCTGTCTGGCTGCCTCCTGCTGTGCACTGCAGGCGGCCGGGGCTGAGCTTCAGCCCGAAGACTTTGAATATGTGCTCTGTGTGGGTTTATTAAACTAAATTGAGCTCCCTCTTTCACTAGCCCCCAGACCGCCCTGGCCCTCTGCCCCCCGCCGTTATCTGTCGAATGCAACTTTTGGCTTTACCATGTCAAATTGTCGCCTCAATGCTCAGCGTCCTGAAAGTAGATAGTGTATGAAGGCAGCAAATATATAAAGAACAACAGCAGCAGCAGCAGCAGCAACAAATAAAACAAAAAGCCGCAGAACAAAAGAGAAAAATGACAAAAACTTTGGCATTGCCAAAAGTGAGCCGCCTTTATATTTTCCCTTCCTCACGTCGATATTGAATGAGACCTATATATAAGACATATTTAGATCTATTAATGAGCTGTGGGTGGCATTTTCCCACACATTTCGCTGGTTTCTTCTTAACCTGACCAAGTGGAATTCCATTGATACTTCTCAGACACACACACGCACGCCCCGCTGACTTTTATGAAACTAACCACTTAATCACCATATCATATCGCTCCCATAAAAACCCAACAACAACTTAATCAATATATATTTGTGTGTGTGTGTGTGTGCGTGCGTGTGTGTTGTTAGTGCACACATGAGATTTAAGCATTTCTTCCGTATTCTGACCAGGCATCGCTTCGAATCGAATCGTACGCTGCTGTCTATCTGCCTGAATACTATTGACTAGCTGATTATTTTTATTTGGTTCTCGCAAACGTCTCGATTGAGATATAAAACTATGCCACTGCCCTGCCTACAGGGTAAATATAAACATTTATATACGATTAAGTGTGCTGTTTATGTTGATGTTTGGTTTAGTGCTTCCGCTCCTGCAGCTTCGGCGCAGCTTCTCTATGCCTACGTCTGGGCCGCCGAGGCAGGGCTGTGTCTGCTTAGATATTGCGTATACGCCACATTAAATGGCCCAGAAAGAGATAGACAAAGGCAGAGACGAGAGTTTCGCAACAGAGAGGAAAACAAAAAGGAAAACGAAAACAAACTCTTGGCAGATTAATGTCGAAGTGCTTAGAGTGCCGTTCATATCGAAATTGAATTCAAACGTTCTGCGGCGACACGGTAAATCAATAAAAAACTAATCAAAAAATCAAAAGCAAACATTGGGAATTTGTTGAACACCAAATTGAGTGTCAGCAGATTATCTATCTATATATGAGTGTGTCAGTGCTTGTGTATGTGTGCGTCTGTATATGTGTGGCTGCCTGTACTGAAGTTGAATAAAGTTCATAAAAAAAGACAAAACAAAAACATTTCACAAAAAGTCAAATTAACGCTTAGCTTCAACCAAATTTCATTTCATTTCAAATGCAAACCAATTAAATTAAAAGCATAATATGCCAATGTTGTCTGCCACTCATAAATACCCTGTAAACAACACCGAAATATAGGGTATGCTGCATAGATGAAGATGAAGATTTTTAGGAATTTTGCACCAGTTGAATTTTTATTTATTGTATTAAATATATATTATTTTATATTAAAAGTAAAATTTTAAATATATTTGCTAATGAAAACTGGTTTCTGGTACAAACTAAATTTTAGTTTAGTACAAAGAATCTTTGAATGTTAATATTAGTAGACCATTACCCAAAAACCGTGCATTAAAAAAAATGATTCAATATAAGTTCATATACTATATACTTTCAGTCTCTAATACAATAAAAGTAATTACTAAAAAAATTTTATATATGTATGTATAATCTCATTAATAATAATAAGATTGGGCAATCAAATGCCACAACAAACTGATTGACCCAAATGTTTTATTGGTATTTCCTAATCATTTCGATTTCTATTACCACGAACTAATGATAATATGTTAGATAAGTTGGACTCACAGCAATAAATCACGTTATATTAATATATAAATATTATTAAATAGATTTAATTAATTTAAGATTTAATTAATTTATAGAGCTTAATGGAGACTTGCGATAAATTCCAGCGTATCTGAAAGCAGAATTTCCTAGCTTGTCTGCATATTTTTAAATTGTGTTGTATTTTAACCACCCGCAACGACATTTTCGGTCATTTTACAATTTCAATTTATGCAAATGCAACAGCCGAGCATATTACCAGAGAGAGAGAGAGAGAGAGAGAGCGAGTGGGTGACAGAAAGAGGGGAAATGACAAACTGAAGCCACAGGCTTTAATGCTCATTAGGATGTTGCCGCAAACCCACTGAGCATATCCAAGGGTCGCATTTTCTGTGGGGCTGAAGAGCTAAGCAGTGTTTATATATAGAGAAAGAAAGAGAGAGTGAGGGAGAGCGGGAGACCGTCGCCTGCATATTTACAATTGCTTGTGTATGAGAAAAAACACACAGTGCTCCAAAATTACATTTTTATCAAGAGTTCATGTCGAGTGCGCAGCTCGCCAATTTCAAATTCCACGGCCAAAGCCAGTTGCCATTTAAAATGCAAAATGTCTGGTCTTGGCGCTTTAAGCCAGCCGAAATGTATGCAATTAATTTGAGCTTACGACTCAACGAGTCACTGGCAACGGCTGTTGCATTTCTCTCGCATTTCTCTGCTTGCGGGTCTTACGATATTTTAATGACGCTGCTTCCAATGGCGGCTGCCTTAGGAGAGGAAAACCCTCATTTATATCAGCCGAATAATGGAATACGGTTTCATTTAACTTTTAAAGAGCAAACTTTAACAGGCAACTCTGTGCGTAGACTGATTCATTGAAGCAGCTCT